TTTGAGGCAATATTTGAGAAACCACAACACAAAACTGTCGAAAAGGCCAACAACCCACAGCAAAGTGCAAAAAAATCCCCATCAGACATTGGGAATAACACGCTGTAAAGTATCACATGCCAGCGAGTATTAAATGTGTCAGGGTCTGGATAGTCATGTCAGTGTAACCATGTTTGATTCCATGTTAACCAGGATGGATGAGGTGGTGGTTGAGGTGTCATTGTGTCCACAGCTGAAGGTGGTTGAGAAGCCCGGGGAATGCTCTCTGCCCAGAGAAACCCAACCGACCGAACCGAGGCCCGTCTGTGCTGACACAGCTGGTCCCAGGCGCAGACAGCCCAACACCATGCTCGGCTCCAGGAATGTTCTGGGGCTCGTTGGAGAAACCATAACAAGTGCAGGAAATAGATTAGTGCACTCTGGGTTCCACACCCGCCGCAAAGCTCCTGAGTTCTGCCACACTGAACCCACATGTGTGGGAACAGAAGACTCAGCAGCAGAGGGAGTAAGACCCCGATCCAGACATGGGTGTAGATCCCAAGAGGACCGGTTCTACGGAGCAATCAAGGCTCTGTTATTTCATGGACTGGACCTGACTCCTACATGCAAACCAAAATGCAAATCCAGTAAAAAACTTGCAAAGCATAACGGAGAGTATTATATCCAAAAAACATTTTTATGGACTACAATGCCTCTTACATTCAAACTCCCGGTTTCATATTCTTTTATGTTCATTTAGAAAATCAAAGTCAATCCAGACCCCATTGACATGTGTTTGTAACCACTACATCATAAGTTAAGATAGAAGAAAGGCCACCGTCCATCTTTATTTCATGTTTGACTTGCAAGCTAACATGCTATCATATACCTAAAACCAATTATTCCTTTGAGCAAGCGGAATAATGTCCCTTCTTGTTCTTTTGAACCGAGAAGCAATCGACATAATGACTTTCTGCTGGAAGTGAGCTCTTGATTTTCATAGCTCATCGTGTCCCTGAACCTGTGTGCTTTAGCTGTGAGCTGTCTACATGTACAGAGAAGGGGATCCAAACTTCTAAAAGCATGTAGGATCAAATGGACAGAGTAGCTTAAGTTGCTTTTGATTCAGGTCGACTGAAGCTAATTGCACTAAAACAGCGGTTCACAAACTTTCCAGCTAATGACCCCCAAAATAACGGTGCCAGAGACTGGGGACCCCCACTTTCCCTGGAGGTGCAAGGCATGCAACGTATTGCAGGCAGGAATAGGCATAAAGAGGAAGTGGCTATCTATGATTGATGCACGATGATTTGACTTTTTAGAGTTATATGAATCAAACGCTACACCTGATACGATCACCTGATCATGGAGTCCTTCTTCAGAATGTTTCACTTTTCTAATTAAGGTTTTGTAGATGTGTGCAGGACTTCATTTCCACCTGTATTTCTCTCCTTTAATAAAGACCTGCCTCAAGGTTTATATAACATTTTTTATGACAGGAGGATTTTTGGTTTGAATCCGGCCAAGTGCAAATCATGACTGCCAATGTCCGATTATAATACCTGAGAGGTTGTACGAGTCCAGCGAAAGTTGGGGTAGATTTCTGTTTTTATTCTAACAGCCTTCTTATGTCAACCCCCCACTGAAGAAAAAATACGATTGAACCTTGAGCACTGTGGAAGCTATTTCAGCCTGGCTTCAACCTGGCAGGAAGAGGGATGGGATTACCATATGAACTCACTCGGTGATGTGTGTGTGTGTGTGTGTGTGTGTGTGTGTGTGTGTGTGTGTGTGTGTGTGTGTGTGTGTGTGTGTGTGTGTGCTCTGCATTTCCAGGTAAATACAAACCAGTGGAAAAATGTGTATCTTTGTAAATAAACATGATGTATGCCTTCCTGAAGTGTTTCTGTAAAATGAACAATCACAAACAGCTCAGTCCTTATAAAGTTAAGTTAGCTTGTGCGTTCGTGTTTCCCCATTGTGGCTGTTTTTTTATGTGCCTTTTTTGCAAGTCAGCAAAAAAAGGAAACAAACACCCCAAAGGTGCTTTTAAAGGTATTTCAACAACATGCTCCCTACAGAATGTGTTTCAGACACACATATTGATTTCACACAGTTGTTCCTGATGTCAGTCTGTTCTCGTGGATGAATTAAAGCCAACGCAGAGAAGACACAGAACGAAAGCGTTGCCAGATTGGGATGAGTGCATCAACTCATAAACATTCTTCCTGGAACATGAAGGCAGCTATCAGACCATATGGTTTTTCATTGCTCCTTATCTTTCCTTACTCGTTTTTATGGAGAAAACTTGGAAGCGCAAAAAAAAACCTCAAACCTCTTCGTTCTCTCTGAGAACTTCAGTTAATGCTCTAAAGCACGCTGAAAAGACCACAGTATTTCTGCAGGCTTAAGCAAATTAACTACAACCCGTGTAATCTTTACAATGCTGGGGTCCATTTTCCAGTGAGGTATGGTAATCAACTTTACGCTGCCTCAAACTACTTCAGACATTTCTGTCAGCACTTATCTCCTCTCTTTGTCATGAGTGCACAATCAAAATGTTTTTTTGTTTTTTTTTGACGCCCCTCGGTTTGCCAGATATGAGATCAGTTATCAGGTCAACAGGTGTTGCAGCGATGGAGGCGGGCAAGAGAATTGGTTCAGATAGAAGTGATTGTACCCGACCTAAAAAGCCTCTGCATGTTTCTAATAAGCTCCACGAGCAGAAACGTGCTCAAACTAGGATCAATATTGGAGATGCTTTTGAAAAATAGCATCTCCAATAAACGCAGAAAGGTTTACAGACCGATGCAGAGCTGGCTAAACACTGAAGCGCCATAGTTGGGCTTCAAAACCGCTAGCCATCTACAGGAAATGAAATGATTTCCATTCTTTCTCAGAGTCAACATCTTTCTAGGAAATACAGACATTTTAGAAAATGGTCAGCAGCGTGCAAAATACTGTAGGTGAAATATGTACGTGAATAAAAAGCAAAGCAACTGGAATTCGTCTTCTTTTTTTTAATTCCAGATGTTCACTTCTTCTAACCAGCAGGATTGTGAAGTACGTGTTCCCTGTTCCTGTTTAAAATCCTCCTCTTCTGAGCTCAGCTTTGACTTATGTCAACAGTTTAAAAAGTCTCCTTACTCTCCGAGGAGACTGCAATGAATTACAGCAAAACATGCAGAGAGGAAATAACTGCTTGGGTCCCCCTGAGTACTGACATTACAGCGCTAATAGTGGAAGAATGAGAATTTGTGATAGTTTGCATGAATACTGCTCTATTTCAAAACAAAGCCTCTGGAGCACAGAGAGACGGCCCCTCGGAGCCGGCCCCTCCAAACAGCTGCCGTGTCCCTCAGAGGGTCGACAGCACTCAGCTCAGAGTTCAGCAGCGCTCGCTTCCCCAATGTCAAGAGTTCATTTGAATTAAGTTAAAAGTGTGCTGGATTTGGCTCCTCTCCCTCTCTAATCAAATCCATGAGCGGGACTCACATGCGCTCACAGAGAAAGACAAACAGGATGCCTCTACTCGGATGACTCGAATCAAAGAGATTGTGTTTTAACCCAGTTGGACGTCGTCTCTTCTTGTTCTTTGTAGCCTTGCATCTCGCACACTCGTGGACTCATGCCGAACTTTATTTGAATGAGTAATCCTGCAGCGATACCAAGAGAAACAGAGAAACAACAAGAGAAACAACAAGAGAAACAACAAGAGAAACAACAAGAGAAACAGAGTCTCCTGATCCCAAATCAAAGATAAATCAAGTGGAGCACGTGCTCCGTCTCTAAGGAGATAAGTAATGATGTGTTTCAGTGTGTGTCACACTGTTTGCTCTTTGTGTTTCCTTCTTCATCCAAACATACACTTGATGGAAATCTTACTGTTGAGAAAAACAACCCGACAGCAGCACTTGGGAGGGGTACTGAGGGAAACTGATCTCCATTAGTGATGGTGCATCATTACGCTAATCCGCTGTACCGTGTTTTTTACGGTATCTTCCTGGAGCCCACCCAATTGTGTCTATGAAAAGCTAAACCCCTCCCAGAAGTTGCACTAAAAGGTGACTGTCCTACACTTTGGAAAATTCATATAAAAAAAAGGATTTATTTTACATATTTAAAATACATCGTTGTTAGATTAACAGTTCAACGCTGCTCGCTGCCTTCAATGCGACATATTGCTCATTCATCAGGTAATCATTCGTCTCATCATGCGGGACGCAAAGCGGGACACCTGGCCGCCCTGTTGGCGGTAAAAGTTTTAAATGTGGATGACGACGCTTTAGAGCATTTTTATTCTCATCATTCTTGTCTTCTTCTTGTTCACTATCAATGCAAAACTCTGGGAAACTTTCTGAAAATGTTGAAGAAAAACTTTTTTTTGTTGTTGTGCTTGTTTTAAGCTACACAACAATAGTGCATGAGTACAGTATGTTAGCAAACCAAATGCACATGAAGCCCCTTCTGCTTGTGTTAACCCACAACAGACAGAAATATGTCGAGGACAGTTTTAGTTAGAGTGACTCCTCATTTTTGAGGCTCGACGGCATGTTTGTGTGAGTCGGGGTGTTTAAGTGACTTAAATGAAGCAGATAAAAGGGAGAAGAAGGATTTTTAAACGTTTTGATCTGGTGAGTTATGTCAGCCATCATCGGGCTTGTGGTGAGCTGGACCTCACAGACTGACAGCCACATTTATGTAAACCCAAACTGTGCAGAGCCGTCAGTGACAGAGCCAAACATCAAGGCAGACGGGGCTCTGCTACAGCATGCTGTTTGTCCTAACATGAAAAACACATCTCTTGTGTTAACTAGGACTCCCAATTAGACGAACATGCTCTTAGAGAGCGGATCATTCAAAGTAGGTAGCACCAGAGGAGAGACAGAGAGTCAAGCCCACACACTTAGGAGATTTTATTCAGAGCAGTTCACTCTTAAAAACAGTAAAAGTTTTATGATCCAAGCCCCAAGCGTGCCTGCTTTTCCCCTGTGAAGAAAAAGTAAACTCTTGCCACTCACCGAACCTCTTGTATCCAAAAGACTGTACTTCCTCCTCGTCTGCAAAGTCGTCTGTGTGACATAAAAGAAACATGATATAAGTGAGCTATACAATGTTACTGTGTGTGTGTGTGTGTGTGTGTGTGTGTGTGTGTGTGTGTAGATATGAGGTCCAGAGAACTGTAAAAGCCACAGGCTGCGGTTTCTCTGGGTTGTTGACAGTAAACTCTAATTACACTCTGCTGCACCACACTGAAGATTGGAGCTGAGCTCACAGAGGAGCATCACTTCTAATGGTAAACAGATGGGACTGACGGGGCAGGCAGGGAGGGATGAGCAGTGTGTTTTAGAAGGGTGGGGGGGTCAGAAGGGGGTTAGACTAGATGAGGAGACACAGATACTGGATGAATACGTTATTTTATCACAGTTTCTCCATCTAATGGTCAAATATCACAGTTTTACATCATGGTAGTAGTGGCCACACTTTGATTGAAGATGTTGAGTTGAGCTGAAACACAACACATTTAAAGAAAAGTCTGAAAGCTACTGGTAATAATCAATCTTGCAGGTTGTATTTAATTTCTTGTTTAAAACAGATAGTTCTGGTTTCTTAAATATCACAAACCCAACGCGTTAAAAGCTGTCTCTTCTTTGTGAACACATCAACCACTCTTTTGTCTCCTTTAATGGGATGCTACTAAGTGGTTGGAGTACAGTAGAGAATCAACTCCCGAAGTATTTCAAAACTTCTGCACCGCAGTACCGTAATGTCATCCAGATGTGCAACGCGCACAACAAAGAAAGGCGCACAGAGTGAGTGAAATGTGGAAACAGAGTCCCTTGAGTTTGGACTAAATAAATAATACACATAGATATCAGTGTCACGTTGAGACGGCATACCTTTCATGGCGTTTTATAACTCGTTGAGGACAGTACTAGAAGAGATGAGGGCTGCTGTCACTTGCTGCGCATCTCAACATCCAGCGCGAGAAGGAGTAAAGTTGCTCCACCGTAAACGACACCTTCAGATGAAATGATAACATTTAAAAGTGTGTCTTCATGTTGAATCTGAAGTTTAAAATCCCATCGTCTCTGTCCTGTCTTCTCGCTTCTCCTCAGATAAGTTTTAGTTTGCAGGAGTTGATGTGATGTTCAGCCTCGTCCCGATGAGCTGCGCTGCCAGGAGGAAGGAGTTCAGCCTCTTACTACCAGCGTCAAGTTGCACAGAGGAGAGCGACACTTCCGGTTTCGCCTTCAGAGTAAAATGCATTTTAAGGCGCAACAATGTAGAGTAATCACAGGCAGTTTTCACGACTTTAACTGTTAACTGCGGGAATAATTTAACCTTTTTTTGAATTCGCCTTTTGCCTGGTGTTAGATGGGATGGCTGATGGCATGTTTAGCTCATATGGGAATGCAACAAGAAGCCTAACTTAGCATAAAAACCACAACATGTCTTGTTTTGGTTAATTTATATCAAATAACCTGGACAAAACAAAACATTTTGATGTGGTTTAGGGGGCCTGGAAACTTTGCTAAGTCCAGAAATAGTTATCTTTAATTAGGCCTACCCTTTCGCTAATTTTAAGGGCCTAAAATCAACAAAATATGAAAGGTTCACTAGTGTGTGTCAACTAGAGACATCAATGTGTTCAAATTACTTTTTAAAACTCAAAGAAAATGAGCACAGGAATGTGTGAACTGGCATGTTGACTGGCTGTTTCCCTGTTTTAATTACTTATAGGCCACTAATCTGAACTGAATACTGTGTAAATTGCTGCTGTTTACCAAACATAAAATGTCAGCTCGTTTAAAGATAGTGAATAAAATCAATGACCAAATGTTAAAAAAAAATAAAAAATAAAAAAAAAATAAAAAAAAAAATAAAAAATAAAAAATAAAAAATAAAATAAATAAAATAAATAAAATAAATAAAATAAAATAAACGTTTTTTGCTCTTACTTTGAAGGCGTTTTCCCCGTTTCCGGTTTTCCTTACATGCCTTTCTATCTTTTTTTTTTGTTAAACTTCCTCTGACACAACCACTGTCCCCACTCAGGGTTTTGAGTTATCTCCAGGGAGGGAGAGGAGGTGCGGGACGTCGTGCGGAGCTGCAGTAATCCAGCCGGAGATGAGATTAAGTTACAGGGGGGTTGATGGCAATCTCGTCCCCGGGTGGAAATCTGGTACCCATTACAGATCATTTCAAAGGTTTTTGGGAGGTGGAGCGACACACTGAAACGGCGACACACACTTTCATTGTAGTTCCCGTGTTTTTCTTTTCTTTTCCTTTCCATTTCCTTCAAGGATGAAAACATTACTTTCATAAAATTCCTTTTCGGACCATTTGGCCTTTCATCGGTGGGTTAATCATTTGGCTTGGGTTATTTTATCAGCTGTTTTATCACAATAGCCCAACATTCCTAAGGTGCTATTTACAATTGTGCATATTTAAAGAATAATTAAAACAACATTCTGTCAGCACATCAAAATATTACATACATGTGATAAAATAAAAGTTAACATAAAAAAATGACACAGACATTCCTGCTCACGCTTTGTGAGCCTTTAAATAAATCCACATTTCATAAACTTCATTTTGAACTGCATTTTTGAATTCATTTTCTTTGTTTGTCTGTTTGATATATGAAACAAGAGCTCCTTCCTTACTTGTTCACAAGATGTCATACATTTGCAATATTATTTTTGTTTCACAAATAGGCTTTAATGGCGGCCAAAATGGGCACAATCTATCAAAATAAAACTGTAGGGTCACCAGCAGCCCCCGTCTCTTGAACTCTTCCAGGTGCCGTGATAATTCCAACGTTTCCTGTGTCGATTATCTCCGCGGCCTGCAGATGCACATCACTGATCAAAGGACTAAAAGAGCCGCATCCAACTTCAAAAAGATGGAGCCACAGCCCCTCGTGTCCTCACAGTACGAGTTAGTGTCACTGCCTGGGTTACATTGCACTGGTGTGTTTACACTTCTAAAGAATTGATTTACAGCAAGAAGACGCAGATAACACAAACTGTCTCCTCTCTACAGTCCTCTGCGCTTTAAGAAACACGACACACACATCAAACTGAGCACTGTTTTTCTTCTGTCTTTGGATAACTGAGCTGTCAAGCCGGGGCTCAGTGTTAATAGCTGGAGTTTGACCCACTCCAGCCCAGCACATATTAGACTCCAGCCCAGCCTGAGATGATAAAGCGACTAATTACCTGTTTTCCTAAAGGCTTGAAAACTGTTATTTTACTGTCGGCTATAATTGGAGCTGCAGGCTGGTTATTATGGCTCAGATAGGGATCGTGGCGAGCTGATAAAAAGCAGCTGAGGGTCAGGTATCTTGCAGGCCTGCTCCTGCTGGTGCTGATTCAGAGGTTGGGACCTCATTTGCTGGGTCAAGGCTTTCAGCATTGGGCTCAGATTAACAGAGAGCACACATGAATTCCACATTTACCACGCTGCTGCCATGTCTGGATGTCAGGATAAGAACAAGGCAGATTGTTTTATGCAGCAGGAGAGAGTCGCTGGAGGAAAGAAAGACAGGAAGCAGGACGTCTGTTTCTTGTAGTGCGCTGACACAGTGTGATAGATGTTTTGGATAATGCTAAGAACTCACTGGATACTCTGGAGTAAATGTTGGTAAAATGAGTTCAAGATGATCTTCGAGTTTTCTGCTAACATCTGAACATTTGATCTAAATTTAAGGAGGATGATTTGTTGTATTGCAGGGTCCTTAAATCTATAAACAACTCGACAGAAGGGTTGCAAAAGCTTAGTTTTTAATCACTCGGTGACAGCAGATACAAGTACAAAATTTTCATTTTTCCCAAAATGAAATCAAAGATCCAATTTCTACAATTCAACAATTCATTAATCAGACACTTTTATCCAAAGCGACGTACATCGAGGAGTTACAAGCAAGCATCTAGAGTGGAAACAATGTCAGGAAGTGGATGAAAGAGCTGGGTCTTTAGCTTTTTCTTGAAGGTGCACAGGGACTCTGCAGGTCAAATGGAGTTTGGTAGTTTGTTCCACCACTGGGGGGCGACAGAGGAGAAGAGTCTAGCCAGAGACTTGGGCCCTAATATGAAGGTTGGATCAGATGGCTTCCATTGGCCTAGTCCACAGAGGTTTTCCTCCTCTCCTAATTGATTTCACAACTAAAACAAGTTTCAAAAACCTGCTGATGGATTTTTATGCCTTATGAAGATGAAATGAAACCAATAGCTGAGTAGAATGTAAAGCAAACACAGCATGATTTGACACACTCTTTTCCTATTGAATGTTTTTACGCAGCCGATATACATGCGTACTCTTACATGCATTCCTTCTGCTCTAATTCTGGCCCGCGGCGCAGAGCTTAAGTCTGAAACCATGCCAGTGTGTGCCAGCTCTCTGCAGGGGGTCAGGCTTACCGTCAGTCTGATGCAGATTAAAGCAGAAAGTCTGACCTGAGGAGGCCGCTGGAGTATGTTGGTGCTATTATCCATTTAAATGAATGAGTTTCATTTTTATAGACATAGAATAATTATTCTTATAATAAGCATTTCACCTTCTGTGTTTATTGCATCTGCCATGTGAGGGCCACATGAGGAGAGGACATTGAACGCACACAAAAAATACCACTTGATTCATTTCAGTTCAGATATTAAAATATTTGTGCAAATGCAGGGTTACATTTCAAGTGATGACATTGTTTTTATTAAACTTCATAATGTGGATATTCTTTAAACAGTGCATCAAAAGCTGCAAGAAACAGCCTAACAGGTATTTAGTCTATTTAGTCCCACTTTTGTTTATTAATAGAAACGTTTCATAAATAGCACCCTGGTTGTTTGTGTAAGGCTCGATGCCAACACACTAATAGGATCTGTGCTCGTGTAGATCATTAGAAATAGGACAATCCTTTGAGGAAGCAGACAGCCTCATCTCTCAAACAGCAACCAGGTGCTCGTGTCTGCAGTCGGATGTTTTCATTGCTTTCAAGGTAAATATTTGGAACTCCATTAAACTATTCTAGAAATCCTTCTTAGGGTCAGACTCTGAGGTTAGCACCAGATATAAAGTTGTTATTTTTCTGAAATATTATTTTTATTATTTAGTTAAAGTTTTTTTCAGACACATTGAACGGACATTCTTACTTTGTATTTTCAGTTCAACTTTTAAGCATGCAGAGGAAATTAAAGTATAACATCTATTCAGGTTAATTTCCAGTTAATGCTGACTTTGATTTGTGAAATTATTTGGTGTATAACTTTATCTATATATTATTGATTGATATGTAATGGGTTTTATACCCGTTTCTTAATGTGCAGATGTTCACCATCCTAAAGTTCACTCCAATTTTCATACTGAGGAAATATTAAACTTTTTTTTGATTTTTGCTTTACTTACAAAAAATATACAATTGCACTGTCTTAAAGTTATTTTCCCTGGTACGTAATATTGATTGTAACAGTCAGAGAGATTAGTTCACTGCAGAAGCTTTGATGGATTTAGATCCATTTTCATGTCCATTTAGTGTCTGATTGTTCTGGGTTTACATGCTTATATTTAATTTTAACTGCATTTAAGTTGAATATGTTTGAGAAATAGCTCCACCTTGTGGCAGCTGATTTGTCAGGTTGATAAATCAGAGTGTTTTTTTTTTTTTGCTGGTGTAAGTTGTTGTATGTTAACTCATAACATGTTCATGTGCAGAATCTCTCCTTTATAATCGACCTAAGACAGGATGAGGCGGCTGCTTGTACAGATTCTCTGCGTCTCTCAGGTCCTGCTCTGTGCTGCTGACTCTCCTCCACTGAACGAGGACACGCTGAGAGGTGAGGCCTTTGAAATGATTGTTGTGCTATGCTTCTTTTTTTTACATACTTTATTAATCCCTGAGGGTTACACTGTGTTACTGAGAGGCATACTTCTCACAGCAGGAGTGAGGCGGGGCGGGTTTGATTCCGAGCTCCTGCAGCAACATGTCCGATGTGTCCTAAAGGCAAGACACTCAAACCCAATTTGCTCTCGCTGCTTCGTCAGCTTTGAGTAGTCAGAAGACTAGAAAATAACTATGCAAGCTCATGTCCAGTTCCCAGTCTCTTTACACACAGGGCCCTGAAATACACACATGCACAAACAGGCCCCGTGGACATGAGCATGCCAGAGCTGTTGGGGTTCGGTGCTTTGCTCAAGGGCGGGCCGGCAGTACTCAGGAAGTGTTCTGCCACCTCTCCAGCTACCAGACAAACTTCCATCATCCGCTCCGGGACTTGAACAGGCGGCGACGTCCCTCTGGTTCCCACCCAAGTCCCGGCAGAGCTGAGCTCCTGCCACCCCCATAAAACGTTTATATGAACTTGTTATAATTTTTTATATATATATGTTGCAGGTTTAATGACTGTGTGTGTTTGGTCGGTGTTTGTAGAGCTGTCTGCAGCAGGAGAGCATTTCGTTGATGAGGAAATAAAGCGAGCCGTCCTCGGGGTGAAGCAGGTGAAGGAGCTGATGGAGGAAAAAGAGGAGAAGTACACACATTTTATGGACGCCCTGAGACAGAGCAGTGACAAGAAGAGGGTACGAATCTATGATTTACCACTTTAATAATACCTCCAAAGGCAGGCTGGTGTAAACAGAAAGACTTGTCACAGAAATCAACCATCTGCAAAGAAGTTAAATGCCAAACTTTGGGCTAAATTACAATTTATTTTTGGCTTCATAAATGCAAAAATTTAAAACGAGAGACCTCAAAGCAGACAGCGATGAATGCATGTGTGGGAGTAAAGCTAGTTTAGGGAGTCTGGGTGTAGTTTTAAAGCAGTTGGGATAAATTAACTGTCTGTAGATTAATGTATGTGCCATGGCAGCATCTGCATCGTAGCCTGCCATGCTTATTAATGTTATGTATCTGAGACAGACCTTTCTGTGTTGGGGTTCTTTCAGGGGGCGACGCAGCTAGCCCGGGAAACCGAGCAGAAACTTGAGGAGGCTGAGAGGCAATGTCAAGATTTAACCAAATCGTCCTTCGAGGAATGCCGGCCGTGTCTTGAAGTTGCTTGTAAGGACTTTTATACCTCTACATGTCGCCGCGGCTTCACCTCCTTCTCGTTTAAGGTCAGAAAACTCCTACTGAAAACAATCTCAGAGCTTCAGAAAAAGGACTGATTTGTGAATCTGAAGATCCAGGAAGGCTATAGTTTGTTTGTTTAATTCTTTCTGCAGTTGGAGGAGTTTTTCAAGACGCTCGCCGCCCAGCTGGAAGATACAGATCGTTATTATTATCAGAATGAGGAGAATGTGGGTCACGCAAACTTGGCCGAGAACTACCAGGTCACAGGAGATGAAGCCGATCTTCAGCAGATGGATGCATCCTTCGGCCAACTGCTTTCAAGAACCAACTTCCTGTTCAATCAGAGCGTCACTGTGGTAGAAAAGATGCAACAGGTGTTCAGCGAATCCTTCCTGTTGGCATTCACTGCAGAGCTCCACCCCGGTCCTCTGTCATCCACGCAGGGTGGCTCGAGTCTTGGCTTCTTCAGGACTCTGGGTCTGGATCACCTCGTTGATTCGGTGTATGACTTTGGGAGGAATGTGATGGGGGAAATCAGCTCCTCGGTGGCTGATGTTTTTGAAGATGTTCAAGGAGAGGAGGAGAACTCTCAGCAGCCAAACAGAGGTATCTAATGTCGCCTTTAGAGCAACAGTTGTTTTCATTTCCCTTTAACGTAAGACAGAACACATCTTATTGTGTGTTTATTTACACAGAACCAGGATTCCTTCCGGCTTTGGAACAGTTACAGAGCCGACACCTGTGCAGACGTCTCCGCAGACAAACATCAGAGTGCCTGCAGCTCCGAAGTTGGTGTGTGACGTGTAAGGAATATCTGTTCAAAGGTAAATGATTGCCATGAAATGTGTTTTTATCATAGGAATTACAAGTTCAATGTCTATTTAGCAGCTTGTCCCACAGAATCACCGAACTACAAACTGTACAGATATGCAAACATGTTCCTATCTGGACCTTTAAGGGACTTTTTGACTCAGATAAGCTCCACGTGCAGAAACGTGCTCAAACTAGGATCAATATTGGAGATGCTTTTGAAAAATGGAGAGAGCTTAGAAGGCAGAAAGGTTTACAGACCGATGCAGAGCTGGCTAAACACTGAAGCTTCAGTGTCCACCACATGGCAACCTGCATGACCATCGACTCTAGAGAGGAGGGGGCGGAGGGGGAGACAGCTCTCTATGATGTTTTTAATTTGGACTGCAGTACCCATTTTAAACACTAGGTGTCAGAGTTACATATTGCTCCTTTAAATGTTAAGATTTTGAGATATTTCTACACTCATACAAAACAGGGAACAGCAAATTCATAACATTTAAGAAACTGAAGCCAGAATACGTTTTGCTTTTTTGCTCCTTTACCGACTTAAACTGTTATTTAATATATGACCCACTGATATCCTGATGTGAACTTCTCCATGCACATGATCATATCTGTCCACAGAGTGTCCCATCGTCCAGCAGCTGCACTCTGAGGTGGAGGAGATGCACCTACTTCTGAACGCCTCCCGTGAGCAGTACGACGACCGGCTGCAGCTGGTGCGCAGGCACACGGTGGACACACAGACATGGCTCAGCAACATGGAGGACAAATACCGCTGGGTCAGCCGCCTATCAGACAGCACAGAGGGCCCACACAACATCTTCAGTGTCATCACAGTAAGCCTGGAGTAATGTTGGATTTGTCACACTTTATCTAGTACGACTTGTGGTATTTCATTTGGGATGTTCTGAACAGTAATGTTACAAATTGTTCAATGACGTCAAATTAAAAACGGGGTTTAACTCAACGCATGTTCAGACTACATTTGTGACAACTCTAGCTCTGTTTCAGCTCCTCAGTTATGCTCAGTGCTCTTTTCTCTGCAGTGGGATAAATAAAGGTTTATCTTCTCTGAATCTGAATCTGAATGTACAGGTGAATCAGCAGCAGCAGATGAAGACCATCAGACCTAAAGCTGACAGCAGTGTGACTGTAACTATCCTGGACTCAGCACCGTTAACTGTCTCAGTCCCAGCAGACCTGGAGGTGGATGATCCTGCTTTTATCCAGTACGCAGCTCAGGAAGCTTTGACGCTCCATAAACGACAAATACGAGGTATTGATCACGCCAGGATGAAGGCTTCGTTAATTATTTTGTCCCTCAGCATCATCTTGCAAGAGCTCCAAACTGAAATGAAGATAAATGAGTTATTATGAATTTAAGCTCACGTGTAACCCCTGGGGGCGCAGTCTAAGGTTCCTGGTTTGAATCCCCGTCTGACAGGAGCCTCTCTGTGTGGAGTCTGCATGCTCTCCCCGTGAATGCGTGGGTTCTCTCCGGGTACTCCGGCTTCCTCCCACAGTCCAAAGACATGCTCGTTAGCTTAATTAGTAACTCTAAATTGTCTGTAGATGTGAATGTGAGTGTGGCTGGTTGTCTGTCTCTATATGTCAGCCCTGTGATTGGCTGGTGACCAGTCCAGGGTGTAACCCACCTCTTGCCCAATGACAGCTGGGATCAGCTCAAGACCCCCGCGACCCCCAAACCAAAACAGCTGTAAAGATAATGAATGTGTGTAATCCCTATTATCATTAACTGGATACAAATGCTTCTATTGTTGTTATTTGAAGCCCTGATCATTTTTAGGTTTTCTCTTCAATAGCATAACTTTCATTTTATTTATTTTAAACTTTTTGTTTGTTTCCTTTTCACACAGGGACAGAGTGACGTGGACATCCCAGCATCAAATAAAGTTTGATCTACAGATGATCATCCAAAAATAAGCCAAAGTACCATTTGTTTTTAGCTTACCTCTGCAAAACTTGAAAATGCGTCATACACACATGTACACCTTTACATGCAACACCTAGATCTTTTTTATTCATGTATATGTATATTCTAGTTGTTTTTAAACCTCTGTGCAATAAAGCTGCAGTATGCATTCTCTGCTGGAGCCAGTCTTTGGATTTTAACCCTTTGAAGGTGGGCGTTTACATTGAATGGATCTCTGTTATTTTAAAGTGATTGGTCAAACACTTTGAATATCTGAAAAGCTGCACTATTAATCACTCTTAACACCTTATCTGAAGCTCTGTATTTATAAATGCACATAAAAACCGACTTTGAAACTGAGAAGTTTTTTTTTAACTGTTTGTTAAAAGTTATAAATGCGAAACTCGTGAAACTTTCCACAATCAGTTTCAGTATTAAATTGCATTTTACTGCAGCACTAACCTCGTTTAAATCACTTGTGTAATACAATTTTAGTTTAAAATATATATAAATATATAACAAGTTTCTGGTTAATTATAAAAAACATATAATTCATTATTATATTTATTTGTATTTATTTATTTAAGTTGATATGATACACACCCTGGTGCTCACTACACACCAGTAGGTGGCGGTAATGCACCGATTCGTTGTTTGTCAACCGCCAATAAAACAGCCGAAGAAGAAGAAAAAATAGCGCGCGTGACATCATCACATGAATATTACCCGGGAAAAAAAGCCACTGGTGACAACAACCTGCAACACATCAGCACGTTTGTTCCGTCCTTCCCGTGAAAATGCCGGTGACTTCGGACGTGCTCACCGAGGAGCTGCGCAGAGAGGCTGCAGGTAAAGTGGAGGACCGGAGCGAGCCGGCTGCAGCGGAGCAGACGAAGAAGAACTTCGGTGTTTTGTGTGATGAACGCGGCTATCTGGATCAGGTCGAGTACATCCTGCAGCACGGCCGCAGAAAGGGGGACCGGACCGGGACAGGAGTCCTGTCTGTGTTCGGTACACAGGCCAGATACAGTCTGCGAGGTTTGCATTCAATTACTGCTGATTTTTATAAAGCAAGAGGCATTCAGGAATAATACTACTAAACCAGAGTCCTCCTGTGGAAATTAAAAAGTGAAAATAATCCAAATTAAACTCTTTTTTTAATGTAATCTACTTACCACATGCACCATCTGCTGTTTAGACATAGAACATGTATAAATGCATCAATGCAGAAGAGTTGAGAGTTGATGGTACACCCAGTGCTGATCAGGCCAAACACACTTTGAAAGAATGTCATTCAACCAGTTTGTGTTTATTTTTAGACCAGTTTCCTTTGCTGACGACCAAGAGAGTGTTTTGGAGAGGGATCCTAGAAGAGCTGCTGTGGTTCATCAAGGTAAAGACGAAAAAGAAAGTTTTACTGTCCCATCTATGACGACGTAAGGGGGCGCGCCTCTCAGAAGTGTGTTTATTTTGTGTGCATTTCCTTTCCAAGTCGGCACATCTCCTGAAGTTTCGTGTCGATGTCTGATCTTGTTCCGTTTTGTGTTTGTGGTCGATAGGGGTCGACGAACGCCAAGGAGCTCTCGGAGAAAGGGGTGAAGATTTGGGATGCCAACGGCTCCCGGGACTTCCTCGACAACCTCGGGTTCACAGAGAGGGAGGAGGGCGACCTCGGTCCTGTGTATGGATTCCAGTGGAGGCACTTTGGTGCAGAGTACACAAACATGCACGCAGGTACAGCATGTCAAGTGTTAATATTTACAATCTTGCTTTCCCTTTTTTTTTTTTTAAATAAAACATCTAAATTTGCACACACTGTACGGGTTTTATTTTGTCGACAACTCACCTGTTTGGATTTTATGAAGGTTAAAACCATGTAGACTGCCATCGACGGGACTCTGCGTGTTCTACTCTTGTCGTTGTTAAAACATTTGGTAAGAGAAGCTACGCCGACCCTGCAGAGTAACGTTCCCCTTCACTTCCTTCAACAGATTACACGGGACAAGGTGTCGACCAGCTGCAGAGCGTGATCGACACGATCAAAAAGAACCCCGAGGACAGACGCATCATCATGTGCGCCTGGAACCCCAAAGGTGAAGCATGAAACCACTTCAGCTAAACTCCTCTAGAGCTCTTAAGTTTAAATCCACGTCCTCTCGCCGCAGACCTGCCCTCCATGGCGCTGCCCCCCTGCCACGCCCTCTGTCAGTTCTACGTGTGTGACGGCGAGCTGTCCTGCCAGCTGTACCAGCGCTCGGGTGACATGGGCCTCGGCGTGCCTTTCAACGTCGCCAGCTACGCGCTTCTTACCTACATGATCGCACACATCACAGGGCTGAAGGTGAGAGCTCTAATCACTGCTTCATTTTGAAACGTGTTGATGCGCTCGTAATCCGCTCACACGTGATGGAATTATTTTTTTTTTTCTTCTTCGTCCCTGCAGCCGGGCGACTTTGTTCACACTCTAGGAGACGCTCACGTCTACGTCAATCACATTGAACCTCTAAAGACACAGGTGAGTTTGCTCAAGGTCGTTTTTTTTCTTTATTTGAAAAACATTCAGTGCACGCACGCTCATCCGTCTTGACATTCCAGCTTCAGCGGGAGATCCGGCCGTTCCCCACGCTGAAGATCCTGAGGCGAGTGGAGCGCATCGACGACTTCCGCGCAGAGGACTTTGAGATCTGCGACTACAACCCCCACCCCTCCATTAAGATGCAGATGGCTGTGTGAGAATGTAATTGTGATGAGGTATGAAAAGGCCGTGTGTAGGCGATGAGGGCGCTTTAGAAAAATACATTTATTACATCTTTAAATAGACTTTATAGTGTTTGTCCTCCAGTCCCATTTACACCATCCATGTGTTTTTAAAAGTTCATTCAAACCACAGAAGAATGCTGAACTCACACTCTAAAGGAGAAATATGTAACTCTGACACCTAGTGTTTAAAACGGGTACTGCAGTCTAAACTCAAAACATTGTACAGACCTGCCCCCTCCTCTCTAGAGTCCATGCTCACGCAGGTTGCCATGTGGTGGACACTGAAGCTTCAGTGTTTATCCAGCTCTGCGTCGGTCTGTAAACCTTTCTGCGTTCTAAGCTCTTTCCATTTTTCAAAAGCATCTCCAATATTGATCCTAGTTTGAGCACGTTTCTGCTCGTGGAGCTTATTAGAAACATGCAGAGGCTTTTTAGGTCGGGTACAATCACTTCTATCTGAACCACTTCTCTTGCCCGCTTCCATCGCTGCAACACCTGTTGGTTTGACCTGATAACTGATCTCATATCTGGCAAACCGAGGGGCGTCCAAAACAGCCGTGTGGGGGTGCCTTAAAACCGTCTACCTTCTCTGGTCCAAACAAATCCAGAGCATTCAGGAGCAGAATCTAAAGTTAGAAGGAGGACATTCTGGCTGCTGCATTGTTGTCAGAGAAGCACTTCAACATTAATAATGTCTACCTTAATGTCTGATCATATAGTAAGGTCACTTTATCATTTCATCACTAGATATCTTACAGATTACGTTCTTATATATAAAAAATACAAAAATGATCTTGACTTCTTTCAGGATTTCTGTCGTAAATCTTCTGATGTATTATTGGCTCCATTTTCCTGAGGAGGAACTTTTGGGATGGTCAACAAACTGCTGGTTAGATGTGTTTCCATTTTTCTACTTTAAAGATCTAATTTGTAAATAAAGAATTTACCTTTTGTCTTCTTGATTCTTGGAGCAGAATCCTTCCAGTACAAAAGTTAAGTTTAAGAGTTTCAGGAATGAGCGTTTACTGGTTCAGTGTTCACATTCTGGTCTCATATGTTTTCAGTCTGTAGATCTTATCACCCATTTTAAGAGGTTTCCAAGTTTTGTTTTGCAACGGCCTGCAGTATGTTAAGCTTCACAACTTCAGGGTCGAATCGGTACGCTTTGCACCCCGACAGAAGGGTACCAAAACAGTAGGACGGTACGGATCTGCCTTTTTGGTACTACTCTCAATTTTTGACACCTTTTGGAAACGCCAAAAAAAAAGTGAACCATACCGAACTGAACTGGACCGCTTAGGGCTCTTGAGAGCTGCCTTTGTTTGTCAAAAGGTGCAGCAGGCTAGTTAAAGGGACTGGGCCTTAAAATGTGCTTTTATTTGAAGTTTTACAGTAAGATGTTTAAAGATAAATTCCTCATTTGTTCAGAAGCTGCTTCCAAACATCTCCTTCAGGGTACTCGTGTCTCTGCACTGAAGACTCCAACATCTCGCAAGAATATCCCGGATCCTGAGGACGTGAAAGAATCGAAGTGACTCAAACCGGTGAAATAACGTGTGGAAATGCTGAGATGTACTTCATCTTACCTTGGGGGGCACATAGTGGGCGTCACGTATCACCACAGGGCTGGTGAAGTGCTCGTGCAAGTGGTCAACATATTCACACATTCTGAAGTGGGGAAAAAAAGTAAGTGGTTTAAATGGTTTTAATTTAAAAAGGTCAATCACACAGAGTCAGGACTCTTACCGGCCGCTGAGACTAGCCGACACACCGATGAAGTCGAACAGAATGAGATGCTGGACGAGCTCGCAGAGGCCGACTCCTCCGCTGTGAGGACAAACGGGCACTAAGGGAAAAAGGACAGAAAAAGTTTATTTCAAGCCATAGTTTTATAGAAAAGGTTCAAGGTCACTTATTCTTCTCATTTTTTAATACTTACCCTGGAACTTGTGGGCCATTAGCATTACAGCCAGGTTCTCGTTGACACTCCCCACCCGACAGCTGTCTATTTGGACAAACTGCAGAGCCGAGGCCTGGAGGAACTGCTTAAACATCACCCTGTTGTGACACTGCAGAGGAAACAGTTACCCGACTAAAAGCCAGAATATTATCAGACCGATCTTTGTGCGATAGTTAAAATAAACTAGAGTCCAGACCTGCTCTCCTGTTGCCACCCCGATCCCGAGAGGAGCCAAAGCCTGCAAACAAATCAATCATCTTTTAGCAGTCACAAAGTGTGGATGGATTTCTGAACGACAAGTCAGTATGGAGAATAAGAGACATACATCAATGAGAGAGAAAACAAACACAAAGTGACTCAAACGAACTACAAAGATGTTTAACTAGAAAACAGAGACGGAGAGATGCAGCATAACCAAAGAGTTACACAACACAACCATGGAGACGCTCAAATCAGCAACAAAGACAAAATAATGAGAAACAAATTAGAAACATGCAACTCAAGTCCAAAGAGACACAAACCAGCCCAAAAGAAACCACTCAGGACAATTTCAGAGACTTTAACACAGACTCTAAAATGACATGACTAGCCTAGTGGTTAGTGCGCGCACTCCATGTACGGAGGCTGTAGTCCTCTGAGCAGGCTGCCCGAGCTTCAAATCCGACCTGTGGCTACTTTCTGGCATGTCATTCCCTACTCTCTCTTTAATTTCTGACTATCCACTTACCAATCTCTAACAAAAGGCATAAAAAGTAAAAAAAAAAAAACTTAAAATAGCCACAAGGTGGAACAAACAACAGTAAGGTTTTACAAACTACTACAAAGCACGAGTATAGGGACCAGGCTAGATAAACTCATTTATCTCTCCTACCTTTGAGATGGCTGCGTGACCCAGGATGTCATCAGGCGACGTGGGCTCCTCGATCCAAAGAGGTTTGAACTGGGCCAGGCTGGACACCCAGCTGATGGCCTCGGCTACGTCCCATCTCTGGTTGGCGTCGATCATCTGTCGCAGAAAAATCGTTCTTTAGTATTCAGTTGTTTAAATAATTGGAAGTGAAAATGGCGGAGGCCTCACCAAGGTGTTGTCAGGTCCAATCATTTCCCTTATGAGGCGGCACCTGCGGATGTCGTCCTCCAGATCTGCTCCGACTTTCACTTTGAATTTGGTCCAGCCGCTTCTGAGAGCATCCGTGCAGAGCTGCAGAAAAAAACTAAATGTGTCTGATTGATGTTTTCTATTTTAGAAGGGGTCAAGACTGGTTTAAAAGTGAAGCCAACGAGGATTCAATTTCAACCTGTAATCTTTCTAATGGCCAGCAGGGGGAGACTCCAATTTTCTGTCACCAGGGAGGAAAGTGTCTTGAGTCTACCTCAAAACAACATGATGTTAAATTTATAATAAATGGTCCCATTTAGATTCAAAGCCACGATGAAGCTGGGTATGCTTTCAGGCTCGGCTACTTTAAATTGGCAGGTTGCTTCCATCAGAATCAGAAATACTTCTTTAATAAAATCTATGAGCTAAAACATAGGATTGATATTTTACAGCGGCACAGACCTGTCTGAGCTGCTGGTCTGAGTATCCGAGCCAGGCACAGGAAGTGGTGTAGGCAGGGTAACCCTCCCTCAGCATTTGATCCTCTGGCAGGCAAAAGAAGGAGTCCAATTTAATCAGCACTCGAGGAGGAGGAGGAGGAGGAGGAAGGTTTAATGGAGCAGACATGGAGCGTAGGGAGCCATTATGGAGGCTAAAAGCACTCCTGTTGAAGAGGCCATTTCTTTCTGGATAATCCCATTCAGACATGTAATTAATGGCTCTTTGGAGTGTTCTCACCTCTCAGCTGCTTGCCCTCCTGCGCTCTCATGAGTATGTCTGAAAAAAAAGGAATACACTTAGAAAAAAATGGGGATTCATGTCTTCAAATTGGACTCTTATCAGTTTTCACACATGCACTAAACCTGCACGTTTCCTACATGTGGGAACACAAACGGATAAATCAGAGGAAGCTTCCACTGTGAGGGACACCCTGGTATGTTGTTAAGTAGTAAGTAGTACTTTCCTGACATTTACTCGACATGTTCAGGAGTGCACGTGTGAAAACATCTTGTTACACGTCATCAGCAGGTCTCACCGAGAGCGTCCTTCTCCGTGAGCACGTCTGTGATGTATCTGAAGTCGATGCAGGAGACCATCTGCTTGGGATCCTGAATCGACAGACACAAGATGTTTTGTTTCCCCTTTGCGATCACACACTGGACATAAATCAAAGATCTGCATCTTCTGTGACTCACCATGTCGACAAGCAGCTTCCACAGCGGCTACAGGGGAACGACGACAACAGCTTGTGAGTCATGGAAGAGGGAAACTAGTGAAAGAAATTGTGTTGTGTTTTTTTAAATTTCAAATAGTCCCACCTTGGACTCCGCTCGCGCCCACAGGTCCCACACAGCGTTGAGGACGGCAGCGGTGGCCAGCTGGATCACTCCTTTCTCCGGGCCCAACTGGTTCAGGAAAAAAAAAAAAAAAAGTCACTCTCCAATTTTTGAGTTTACAAAAAAAAAAATCGTCCAAAAGTACGTTCTGTTTTTATTTGATTCCAAAGCGCTTCATCTGCATTCAAGTCACAAAAATAAAACATGCAAGAGTCTTTCATGATCTTCTCACCCATCTCATCTGACTGTCACTGGTCAGGAGGCGGTAAAATCCACGGAAATCACTCACGATCTCCTGCAGGGATTTCCCAACAACCAGCCCGGACAGAGCCTTCACAGCACAAACCACTGCAGGAAACAACAACACAAGCCCCGCCCCCTTAAAAAGGTCAACAAAGCTCGAAACATTTTTTATTTTACAAACTAAAACAGCTCTCCCTTACTGTTTCAGTCTAAATGGACCTAAATGAAAATATTATTGTTGTAATAATTAACATAACCACAGGATGGCGGTGTGCGGGTCAACTTTGTACATGAGCAGATGAGAGGAAGAAGCGTTGCCTTCACGTACAGTCAGAATCATGGGAACTTTCCAACACAGATGTTAATAAAGCATTCTATGAAGTTGTAAATTTATCATTGTGTATTTTCTTTTTAGAATGTATTTATCTTTGTTATTTCCCCCACTTGGCTCCAAGAGCTATTAGCAACCGGCTCTATCCTTAAACTGTTTATTTACGAAATTATGAAAACAACAATCAATGTGAAAACGTGGGGTCTAACTGTATTACTCTCACCTATCTCGGTGCCTTTTCCACAGGTGAAGGTGAGGCCGAAGCCTTTCAGTCCGCTGTCCGTGTCGATGACCACATATGCAGCTGAATAATCCGGGTCTGTGTGCTGTAGTTTTGGGGGAAACTGCAGTGTGAGGACGGGTCTCCGACTTTTGTGAGGCTAATGTTACACTTTTTAAAACTCAGTGCACGATTTTAGATGACTGCTGAAATCTTCCTTACCATTGCATCGGAGCCGTGTTGCTCCAAAGAAGTGGGGAACCTCACATCCCGGACCGTCACATTCACGATCCCGTGTTGCATTTTGGCACAATTCGTCATGTGTGTTGAGCTTGTTTCTTACTGTAGGCCTAAGTCAGGTTTCTGTGCAGTTTGACCCCGCCCACTTCACTTTGTCACTGGTCAAAGAATCCACTGGGGCATGCAACACTCACACAACTAATGTATCCAGCAGATGAGCCTAATGTAAAGCCCTCTATGTAGGATTTCCTAAAAAAAAACAAAAGCGAATTCAAAATAGATATCTTCTAGTCTGCAAAGCATTAAATGGTATGATCTGCTCAATGTCTACAGCCCAATCAGATCCCTCAGATCAGCAGGTATGAGTCTTCTGGATTTACCTGAGGTCAAAACTGAATCAGGTGAAGGTGCATTTAGTCATGTGGAACAAACTGCCTGCTGACCTGAGGGCTGTAGAAACGTAATATTGCTTTTCTCTAGTGCTTTTGGCAGCTAGTTTGTCTTTTTATGTATGTGTGTGTGTGTGTACATATGTACAGTTAGTGCATGGTCCTGTGTGTGAGCTGTCATAGGAACACATGTTTGTGTTTTAAAGGAGGGTGCAGGGTCCTTTTATAAATGTATGTTGGATTTAAAATGTGTTTTTGAATCTATTTGTTCATTTTTTTAATGATAGTATGTTTTGTGTTTGTTTACTTCTGTGTGCTGTAAAGGTAAAGCACATTGAGTTTACATCTGTATAAAATGTGCTGCATAGATTAAAAAGAAAAGAGTTTATGTAGCCCCACAAAACGATACAAACACGTGTAAAATCATGTCTTTTATTGTACAAACTCCCCGATCAGGACTCAACCCACTTCTTCCCACCCAAATATAATTTGCAGTTTTTCTCATTTTTGTTCATAATCTTTTCAAAATGAGGATTTCTATATTACACAAAGCCCTTCTTTACAAGTTCGGGCGTGAATTTGCATCATAACACTGTCCCAAATTAGTCCACACAAATGCAAAGGTAAAAATCACTGTAAAAAAAGGGCGATCATTGCAGTACAAATAGTCTTTGCGGAGATGCATGAACACAAAAGAGTCCTAAGTGCTTTTAAAGTCTGTTTTTTCCCCCCGGTGGATTTGTTCATGATTTCCACTCATAGAAAGAACTTTGACAGCCAGTCCTGCATCCTCGGCTGGCAGACGTTTCCTTAGGTGTCGTTGTGGTTTGGCAAAGAGCCACACGTCCACGTGTTTCATCACTCTTTAACTCACTGACACATCAACCAGAGCGTCTTTATGTAAGCATGTGTCAGAGCGGGTGATCACAGTGAGATTACACAACCCGGGCCAGTGTGGTGCAGAAAGAATTATGGCTTTGTGATAAGAAGACTTAAAAAGAGATTTCTGGAGGATGATGGAGAGTCGTAACAATCGTCAACGGGAGCTATAAATCCATGTCTGAGTGATATGAATCAAATGTTAGAGCAAAGGAACATAGAAAAAAAAAATATACAGTCAAAGATGAGGAAGGCATTAAAAATCATGTCACAGTCCTTTCATCCATTTGCAAAAACACAAGAACTGCACTGTAGCGGAATGTAAGTAAAGTCAAGCTGTGTGGGATTTTCTGTTAAATAATCACCGTTAAATGGACCGTTAGTCCCCTGAGAGCTTCTCCCCATTAGTCTAATATATTATCTCTCTTAATAATTAATTGCATTAATGCATAATTTACCAATCCACCACAAAAGAAAGCAATTTGGAAGGCAAATGTAGTGTGAGATCACCACATGAAACCCCAACAAAAGCCCAACATTTGGGACTCTGTGATGGGGTTTTTTCTAATGCGAGGGATTATCACAGCTTATTTCACAGCGACATACTGTGTTCACCACAAAGAGTCCCACATGTGGGGTGTTTACAATGGATTTAAAAATGAAAAACAGTCGTTAATCGTGCACGGTGGTAAAACCCATTGGTCAGACGTGTGGTACCATGAATGAAAAACAAAAAGATGAAATGATGGCGGACGATGAGAGCCAAAAATATGTGGTTGAGCAAGTAGTGGTTTAGTCTAGTTTCTGATCAAGTGAATAATTAAGAGCTCTTGTTTTTCCTTCTTTCAATAACCGCGTCCACTTCCAGGCGTCCAGGCAGGCTATAGGTTCTCTCCGGGTTGGTACTGTGGCTCTGTGGCGGTGAAGTAATCCTCCAGGAAGGACTGGAGGTACTCGAACGTCGGCCTCTCGTCCGCCTCCTTCTTCCAGCACAGCTTCATCATCTCGTGCAGGGACTCGGGGCAGCCCTGGGGGCAGGGCATGCGATAGCCTCGCTCAACCTGCTCCAGTACCTCTCGGTTCACCATCCCTGAAGAGGAGACGGGAAGGCACAGAGGTGAGTCAGAGATTTAAAATCATTTAATAATGTTATTTAAAGGAAGAATGAGCGACTTTTTGATCCAGTAGATGTCGCCCTTGTAATATTTATGTGTGAAATGTCAAACATTCTTCCTCTTAAGGAGTTTGATTGGATCAAAAAAAGGTAATATAGTGACAAGAGTGAGAGGAAAAAATCCAAGGGGCTCATGTGTTTGTTTTTCTTCAACTTAACTTTTCAAAACATGACTGTCTCAACAGACTCTGACCAAGTGTCTGATCCTATAGTCAGAGATTTTTTTTTTTTTTTGCTTTATACACGCTGAGAAAAGTTTAAAAGAGAAGATTGATGCTTGTGATCACGCTGTGATTTGAAGTTAGAGGAGAAGATTGACGTCAAACCTGAACACTAAATTTGAAGCTACAGCAAGGAAATGTGTAGCTTAGATTAGGATTTGATACGATACGATTAGGTTAGGTCGATCTGCAGAGTCCCGCTGCACCTTTAAGAAAAAGCTAAAGACCCAGCTCTTTCATGAATACCTACTAACTTAATGATGATGGTCTCCATATTATTGATGATGATGATGGTTTTTGTTTGATAACGATGACTTATAAGATGGTTTCTATACTGATTAGAGCTCTCAAGAACTACAATCAATGTTGTGCTTTGCCTCTGGTCACTTCCTGTCAGCACCTGTGTGTCCAATCAGACTCAAAGCCGATCGTTTGCTCTTACTGACATTGTTCCCTTTTTTCTAGATCCTTGCTTGTGCTGTTCTTACTCTCTGATGTACGTCACTTTGGATAAAAGCGTCTGCTAAGTGAATTGTAGAATTGTAGAATTGCAGGGTGACCATCCGTCTCGATTTGACCGGCACCGTCCAATTTTGAAGCTCCTCGCCCAGAGTCCCCACAAATATCTATGAAACACTAATATGTCCCGGTTTTGAACAGTCCCTGTCCTGGCTCTAACCGCTACGCTACGTACGCTACGATAAGATGGGATAGGATAGAAAAGGATATGATACAATACATTTCATTGTTCCATTGGGGAAACCGGTCTTAGGATCAGGTGCTGAACCCAAACAGCGTGAAGCACAAAGACAGGGAACAAGGGGTAGTCCCTACATGTTGCCTAGCAACCTTGTGACTCAGGGGCAGTCGCTGCACCTGGCCAAAGATGATAGTGTTGAAAATGATCAACTGCAGAACAACAACAACTTAGAAGAAAATGTTGTAGAAGCTGTCCTACTGTTTTTAGTGCTCATGTGATGCTAAGCTAATGAGCTACAAACTTTAGCTAGGGTATGAAGGTAAATGTTTAAACTCTTCAGTGAGGATATGTACTTCCGTAAGTGTTAAACAATTCATGAAACCTAGTGCCAAAGTAGTATTTGAAATGTTTCTTCTTGCAAAGTTGATCTCCCTCTTCGGCTTTATAAATCTGATGAAAAGTGGAGCTGTGTGAAGGTGTTACTGAGCCCTGCAGGCGCCGCTCCCCAGGGCAGTGTCAGTCTGGCAGATGGTTATAAACAAGAGTGGTGTTCAATCTCCTGCTCGCCTTCCACCAGATGGTCTCATCTAATCTCAAATGTGTGTGTGTGTGTGTGTGTGTGTTAAGGTTATGAGTGTGTGTGTGTGGCTGTCACTGTTCCCCCTGCAGAGGCATAAACAAACCAGCACAGACAATATCAGACAGCGTCACGTCATCCTCTGTCATTAATGAGCACGCCAGCTTGACGCCTTCCGACAGACTGAAAGCTGATAACTCCTGCTGTGAATTACCACCCTCTGACCCCTCTAATATTTGTTGTTCTGTGCGTCCATTGTTAGGATCACTTACCCGGGTAGGGCACTCTGCCTTTGGTGACCAGCTCGGTGAGTAAGATCCCAAAGGACCAGACGTCTGACTTGATGGTGAAGCGGCCGTAGAGAGCGGCCTCGGGGGCCGTCCATTTAATGGGGAATTTGGCTCCTGGAAGTCATGCAGAGCAGAGAGGGTCAGGTGAGGTAAGGTCACTAGAGGGCGCAGCAGCTTTACTAAAATAGCCATTGTGACGAGGATTAAGACATTTTTAGGCTGTAACATTTAGCATGCTAACATTTGCGACATGAATAGTGAAAATGAACACATCTTTTCTCTGAAGTGATTTGTACAATGTTGTCAAGAGCTTTTTCATGAGTAGATCTTGGAAGGCTTGCTCCTTCGTTCAACAATTTTAACGGTTTTTGGCTCAACGTATGGGTTCACATTTGCACAAATAGCGATGCCTTCCGTGTGTTCTGAAAAACACGAGTTAAATGAAGCTAAAAGAACCCATCTTGTTTTTACTTGTTTCAGGAGAAGGCGGTGAGATGAGCTCTCCCAGCGTGTTAAAAATGCAACTAATCAGAGTGAACAGGAGCATCTGCTTTCCACCATTATCTTATCTAGTCTTTGCGGAGATGCATGAACACAAAAGAGTCCTAAGTGCTTTTAAAGTCTGTTTTTTTCCCCCGGTGGATTTGTCATGATTTCACTCATAGAAAGAACTTTGACAGCCAGTCCTGCATCCTCGGCTGGCAGACGTTTCCTTAGGTGTCGTTGTGGTTTGCAAAGAGCCACACGTCCACGTGTTTCATCACTCTTTAACTCACTGACACATCAACCAGAGCGTCTTTATGTAAGCATGTGTCAGAGCGGGTGATCACAGTGAATTACACAACCCGGCCAGTGTGGTGCAGAAAGAATTATGCTTTGTGATAAGAAGACTTAAAAAGAGATTTCTGGAGGATGATGGAGAGTCGTAACAATCGTCAACGGAGCTATAAATCCATGTCTGAGTGATATGAATCAAATGTTTAGAGCAAAGGAACATAGAAAAAAAAAATATTACAGTCAAAGATGAGGAAGCATTAAAAATCATGTCACAGTCCTTTCATCCATTTGCAAAACACAAGAACTGCACTGTAGCGGAATGTAAGTAAAGTCAAGCTGTGTGGGATTTTGTTAAATAATCACCGTTAAATGGACCGTTAGTCCCCTGAGAGCTTCTCCCCATTAGTCTAATATATTATCTCTCTTATAATTAATTGCATTAATGCATAATTTACCAATCCACCACAAAAGAAAGCAATTTGGAAGGCAATGTAGTGTGAGATCACCACATGAACCCCAACAAAAGCCCAACATTTGGACTCTGTGATGGGGTTTTTTCTAATGCGAGGATTATCACAGCTTATTTCACAGCGACATACTGTGTTCACCACAAAGAGTCCCACATGTGGGGTTTACAATGGATTTAAAAATGAAAACAGTCGTTAATCGTGCACGTGGTAAAAACCATTGGTCAGACGTGTGGTACCATGAATGAAAAACAAAAAGATGAAATGATGGCGGACGATGAGAGCCAAAAATATGTGGTTGAGCAAGTAGTGGTTTAGTCTAGTTTCTGATCAAGTGAATAATTAAGAGCTCTTGTTTTTCCTTCTTTCAATAACCGCGTCCACTTCCAGGCGTCCAGGCAGGCTATAGGTTCTCTCCGGGTTGGTACTGTGGCTCTGTGGCGGTGAAGTAATCCTCCAGGAAGGACTGGAGGTACTCGACGTCGCCTCTCGTCCGCCTCCTTCTTCCAGCACAGCTTCATCATCTCGTGCAGGACTCGGGCAGCCCTGGGGGCAGGGCATGCGATAGCCTCGCTCAACCTGCTCCAGTACCTCTCGGTTCACCATCCCTGAGAGGAGACGGAAGCACAGAGGTGAGTCAGAGATTTAAAATCATTTCAAAATGTTATTTAAAGGAAGAATGAGCGACTTTTTGATCCAGTAGATGTCGCCCTTGTAATATTTATGTGTGAAATGTCAAACATTCTTCCTCTTAAGGAGTTTGATTGGATCAAAAAAAGGTAATATAGTGACAAGAGTGAGAGGAAAAAATCCAAGGGGCTCATGTGTTTGTTTTTCTTCAATTTAACTTTTCAAAACATGACTGTCTCAACAGACTCTGACCAAGTGTCTGATCCTATAGTCAGAGATTATTTTTTTCAGCAGGCCTCAGATAAGATTATTTAGCTAACTGAGAGGCTAAAACGAGGAATGCATTTTTTATTTTTTTGCTTTATACACGCTGAGAAAAGTTTAAAAGAGAAGATTGATGATTGTGATCACGCTGTGATTTGAAGTTAGAGGAGAAGATTGACACTAATGTCAAACCTGAACACTAAATTTGAAGCTACAGCAAAGAAATGTGTAGTTTAGATTAGGATTTGATACGATACGATTAGGTTAGGTCGATCTGCAGAGTCCCGCTGCACCTTTAAGAAAAAGCTAAAGACCCAGCTCTTTCATGAATACCTACTAACTTAATGATGATGGTCTCCATATTATTGATGATGATGATGGTTTTTGTTTTATAATGATGACTTATAAGATGGTTTCTATACTGATTAGAGCTCTCAAGAACTACAATCAATGTTGTGCTTTGCCTCTGGTCACTTCCTGTCAGCACCTGTGTGACCAGTCAGACTCAAAGCTGATCGTTTGCTCTTACTCACATTGTTCCCTTTTTTCTAGATCCTTGCTTGTGTTGTTCTTACTCTCTGATGTACGTCACTTTGGATAAAAGCGTCTGCTAAGTGAATTGTAGAATTGTAGGGTGACCATCCGTCTCGATTTGACCGGCACCGTCCAATTTTGAAGCTCTTCGCCCAGAGTCCCGACAAATATCTATGAAACACTAATATGTCCCGGTTTTGAACAGTCCCTGTCCTGGCTCTAACCGCTACGCTACGTACGCTACGATAAGATGGGATAGGATAGAAAAGGATATGATACAATACATTTCATTGTTCCATTGGGGAAACCGGTCTTAGGATCAGGTGCTGAACCCAAACAGCATGAAGCACAAAGACAGGGAACAAGGGGTAGTCCCTACATGTTGCCTAGCAACCTTGTGACTCAGGGGCAGTCGCTGCACCTGGCCAAAGATGATCGTGTTGAAAATGATCAACTGCAGAACAACAACAACTTAGAAGAAAATGTTGTGGAAGCTGTCCTACTGTTTTTAGTGCTCATGTGATGCTAAGCTAATGAGCTACAAACTTTAGCTAGGGTATGAAGGTAAATGTTTAAACTCTTCAGTGAGGATACGTACTTCCGTAAGTGTTAAATATTCATGAAACCTAGTGCCAAAGTAGTATTTGAAATGTTTCTTCTTGCAAAGTTGATCTCCCTCTTCGGCTTTATAAATCTGATGAAAAGTGGAGCTGTGTGAAGGTGTTACTGAGCCCTGCAGGCGCCGCTCCCCAGGGCAGTGTCAGTCTGGCAGATGGTTATAAACAAGAGTGGTGTTCAATCTCCTGCTCGCCTTCCACCAGATGGTCTCATCTAATCTCAAATGTGTGTGTGTGTGTGTGTGTGTGTTAAGGTTATGAGTGTGTGTGTGTGGCTGTCACTGTTCCCCCTGCAGAGGCATAAACAAACCAGCACAGACAATATCAGACAGCGTCACGTCATCCTCTGTCATTAATGAGCACGCCAGCTTGACGCTTCCGACAGACTGAAAGCTGATAACTCCTGCTGTGTATTACCACCCTCTGACCCCTCTAATATTTGTTGTTCTGTGCGTCCATTGTTAGGATCACTTACCCGGGTAGGGCACTCTGCCTTTGGTGACCAGCTCGGTGAGTAAGATCCCAAAGGACCAGACGTCTGACTTGATGGTGAAGCGGCCGTAGAGAGCGGCCTCGGGGGCCGTCCATTTAATGGGGAATTTGGCTCCTGGAAGTCATGCAGAGCAGAGAGGGTCAGGTGAGGTAAGGTCACTAGAGGGCGCAGCAGCTTTACTAAAATAGCCATTGTGACGAGGATTAAGACATTTTTAGGCTGTAACATTTAGCATGCTAACATTTGCGACATGAATAGTGAAAATGAACACATCTTTTCTCTGAAGTGATTTGTACAATGTTGTCAAGGGCTTTTTCATGAGTAGATCTTGGAAGGCTTGCTCCTTCGTTCAACAATTTTAACGGTTTTTGGCTCAACGTATGGGTTCACATTTGCACAAATAGCGATGCCTTCCGTTGTGTTCTGAAAAACACGAGTTAAATGAAGCTAAAATGACCCATCTTGTTTTTACTTGTTTCAGGAGAAGGCGGTGAGATGAGCTCTCCCAGCGTGTTAAAAATGCAACTAATCAGAGTGAACAGGAGCATCTGCTTTCCACCATTATCTTAATTCACCATGAAAGAAGACAGCAGGGAGTCAACCTTGCTGTGAGGTCACTGCTCCATCTTTCACCAGTGACTCAGCTGTGTGTGTGTGTGTGTGTGTGTGTGTGTGTGTGTGTGTGTGTGTCCGTCCACCTTGTCTGGCTGTGTACTCATTGTCCTCTATCAACCTGGCCAAACCAAAGTCAGCGATCTTGCACACCAGGTTGTCGGCCACAAGAATATTGGCAGCACGCAGGTCCCTGTGGATGTAGTTCATCCTCTCGATAAAAGCCATGCCGTCTGCAATCTAAAAAATAAAAATAAAAATAAATACATTGACAGCATCTCATGAGGGCGGCTTCCGCAAATAATTTTTAGCCTCTCAGAACATCAAGCCCCTCTGACAGACATAGAAGAGAAGACAAATAACAAAAAGAACAGAAGTATGCCAAATCTGGGAGAGGAAGTTATGTTAACCTGAGGCTAAAAATACAAATTCAAAATCTGAGGCTTAAAATAACACCGCAAGCTCAACAGCATGAATCACTGACACAAATTCTGCACTCGCAAAACAAACAAAAAAAAACACTTCTTGAGGTCGTATGTTTTTGTGAATTGTATTTTGTGTCTCCGTCTGTAACTTTGGGTTTTTGCAGTTGAGGTCTCCCTTAGAATTTAGCAGTGCGGCTTGCCTGAACAGCTATTTGAGCGAAGGTTTGGTGCAGACATCGTTTTCCAATATGGCGAGCGACGTCGATGGGCTTCATAACACATTTTCAGAAATCAGTGGGTAGCTACTTACATTTTTTTCATGCAAATCTGTGGAGGGAGACATAATATTTCCTCACCTGTGCAGCCATGTCCACCAACAATGGGAGCTTCAGAAACTTTCCATCACCCTCTTTGAGGAAGTCAAGCAGGCTTCCTGTAAAAGCAGTGAGAGATCATAAATGCAGAGCGGCCATGACATAATGTGGGAGCAATAAATGATACCGCCTGCATACTAATGTCCTCCTATATGAGATGTTAAATATTTCAATTAAGCCCTCCATCTTTTCTGTACCTTGTTGGGAATAATAAATTAAGCTCAGTATTGAATTGGTTATGCCTTCCATATTGATTTGTTTCTCATTTGGTGCCTATTAGAGGATGTATACTTCTGCAATAGGAGTAGAGTAATGGTCGAAATTACTCAATCAAATCACAACGCACAGCGGATCAACAAACTGTAGGCATTTAGACACACAGAGGCATACGTCTTAGAGTTAGCATTTACACACACAAATATCTAACTACTCATAAAAACCTGGAAAACAACGCATTGCAGATGAAGCTATGAAACCTTCCCTGCTAAACTACTGCAGTTTTCAATTAAACATCTCGGTTTCAGTCCTCCGGGAAACCACAAGGGATTCTCAAGGACCTTCAATCTGTGCAGCACATTAATTAAAACATACATAACATTTGCATTTTTTTCTTTAAGGGAATCATCATGCGTACAGCTGACATCAGTGCGGTGCTGAAAAACTGAAGCCGCTTGATCAATTCTGTGCCTTAACTGTCTGCAGTGTGAGACTTTGTGAGGCCTCATGAGAGTAACAGGGAACAGCTTCAGTCTTGATATTCTCCAGGGCTGGAAGCTCTCTGAAAATGTGTTTACCTGCTAATCCAACATGCCTGTTTGGAAAGTATGTTTCCCTGTATCTGCGTGTACCTTTAGCCATGTACTCTGTGACGATATAAATGGGCTCCTCGGACACCACAGCATAAAGAGGCACCAGTTTGTCGTGCCTCAGCTTCTTCATGATCTGAGCCTCTTGCAGGAAGGCCTCTGGGGACATGGTGCCCGGCTTCAGCGTCTTTATGGCCACCTTTGTGGTGCCGTTCCACGTGCCTGCAAAAGAAAAAACACAGGGGGGTGGTTGAGAGAAAAAGCCCACAGGCCGAAAGGGTAATCAGTGTTGTTAATGGGGTGTGAGTGGGACAATATCATTAATTAGGGCTTGTAATTGCTCAGACATGTGCTGTCATGCATGCACTCCTTGCAGAAAGGACGAGCGGATATGAGTTTGGCGTCGTGAAAGGAGCAAATTATTTTGACCGTCTCTGGGGATGTGCAACAAACAGAGGAAGCAACTGCAGGATGTGGATAATTCCCAAGTTTGGGCCAAAAATAGACACAATAACTGTAAGCTTTAGAGTGTTTGTGTGTTTTTGATTTAAGCAAATTATGTTGTGTTCCTTAAAAAAAAGAAAATCTGTTCTGATCCTGCGTTTGTGTTCACATCAGGATAATTACAACTGAATAACAAACAAATGCATGACGCCAGGAAGAAACTGTTTCCAGACATTTTCATTCGTCTTTCTCTTACCCATCCAGACCTCTCCAAAGCAGCCTTGGCCCAGTTTGAGCTCCAGTCGCAGGGACTCTCGAGGAATCTCCCAGGCGTCTTTAGCCAGCCCTTGGGTCTGAGGCTTGACCGTGGGACAAACGGTGGTCAGCCGGTGGCAGAGCCCGTCAGCGTGTTCTGTGATGAAGCGAGCAAAGCGATCAAAAAGGTAACATTACACCCAGCGGTGTCACACACACACACACACACACACACCCCAGCAGCATGAGCCTTTGAACTGGCAGGATACGGCGTTTTAAAGCCGGTCGGTTTCATGCATCGCTTCATTTCATTTGATGTGGATGAAATCAAACTCTTACACCAACTGTGATGAAATATAAATGAGATGAAGTGGCTTTTAACGCACTAAAACCCTCTGCAGTCAAACTGAAGGCAAGTGTGATGACAGAGATTCGACCTGGATCATAACCACTCCATCAATTGTTAACTAAATGAAATGCTTCTCATCTCCCTTGGTAACACTTTAGCATTCACTCAGAGGCAAATGTTCCTCTGCTGTCACACTACATACCCGTGTAGTGTTTGACAAGCTTCTGTAATGTATCGAACTGTGCTCGCGTGGTGATGTAGTATCCCCCGCTGTCCAGCTTGCGGATCTTGTAGTGCTTCACGTTGTCTCCTTTGGCATCATCCCAGTCCCGTATGGAGAGAGAGTAAGCACCTGGAGGAAGCGAGAGAAAGGTTCTTTATCCCACTCCTCATTGGACCATGTAGAGTTGATAAAGGGTTTTGGCAACGAGAGTTGAGTGCTGTCAGATGGGGCCCCCTTAGGGAGGATTCCTACGGTTGATGCAAAACTTGCACATTTTGGGCCACTGCTTTGGTTTAAGTTTGTGAGCCCTCAGGGTTCCCCTTCTGGTCTGGGGCGCCAAGCAGTAACCTGCCTTGACTTTTGCTAATCAGCAGAACTATGCTCATTAATACAAGACAACAAGGTTTGTTATCAAATAGAGGTCTTGAGATAAAGAGGATTTAATAAGGAGAGTTCTGCCTCCATTCAAGTCTTAAAGCTCTCCGGATGCTTGTAGACCAGCTCGTCCAAGCAGACTATGACCAGGACCTTTAGTTAAGGAGACTCCTCAAACTTTACTTTGTACATTATGTGTAAGAAATCTTCACCTTTAGTAGTTTCACTTTCTCGCACCAGGAACGTTCCTCGATTGTTCCCTGGATTCAGCAGCAGCCTCTCAGCGTCTTTGCGTCCCATCTTACCAAAGTACCACCTATTGAGAGAAACACCATCAGAAACCAGACAAACTTAAGATTTAAGTGCTGTCAGAAGATCTTAGTGAACACTATTAAAAGCTTAACAAGATGTCATTGCTTAGATTAGAACATCAAAATGACATTAAGAAGCTTCCTCTGCATTGTTGTAAGCCACCTGAGGTGAGATCATGGAAGCATTAATAGTCTCCTGGAGGAGTCGCTGTAGATGGAACGATGATACTACAACAAGCAGCGAATACTAAGCCTTACTCTTCAGCCTGGATGGAGTCTGCAGGGGCACATAATTGCTCGGGATGTAACCTTTCCTCCCCGTGTTGATGGAGCGAGCCTCCCACCAGTCTCCCTCTCTGCAGGAGGACGATGACACCAGAGAGGTTACAAAACGGACTTCATTAATTAACAGTTCAACGTTTCCTTCATTAACATCATAGACTGTAAATATTAATGGATGAAGCCTGAGTGACGTCAAACATCTGTTCCTGCAGGGGGCGCTGGAGTCCCATCGATGGCGGTCTCCATGCTGGAAATGCTGTCTCAGCCTAACTTTCAGTCAACCTAATGACAGGCTGAGACCTGGAGCTGAGGTGGGTTTTAAGCCTCTTTATAAACTGTAACATCGTGCCAGCCTGTCAGTCAGGTCAGTTAACCTCTTATTGTGAATAATTCTTATCCTTCATCAAATCAAAACAGACGAGTTATCAAAAAATTCAACCCCTGTACAGTGTGTGCAGATAGAAACATGAGCTAACGAGGCCTTTTTAATTGTTTGAACCAGGCTGTAAACATGTTAATGTCTGCTGTAAAAACAGGCTTTTTTGAATGGGTGTGGATGTGACTTTCTGTGCTTCTGCAGCAAGCCTCGAGTGGACACAAATGGAACTACAGGATTTTGCACTTCAGCATTAGCTTCATTTTTCAACACCAGACTTTGCCGCTTGATTAATACCTAAAAAATGTTGCTTGTAGTGCCGATGGTAGAATCAGTATTCCCATAAAACATAAACCAAAGGACACTGAAAAAAACCCTTCCAGTCACTACTAACACGTCCGGCTATGACTGATACTCGGGTTAAAACAGGTGAATGGTGGTTAACAGTGACTCATTCAGGGGCCGGAGTTGTAAAAATTGTCCTCACATTATCTGCATGTTGCCTTGCATGTTGATTTTTTAATCATCTTTTTGTACGTTTTTTTCATCTGCTTTCATTCAAACCTGCAGATTTGATACAAAAAATGATTCAACTGTCTTTGAAATGTGAGGCGTGACGGATAACCAGCATCACAATGGGGGCTGAATGAGACAAATCTACTTAGCATTACAATGCTGTAACCTCAGGCGACATTTCTGCCACGGCTGGAATTAAATAAAAGAGAACTCACACATCCAGCAGCAGGAATAAAAAAGCAATCAAATTCCATTCATAGATACAAAAATGAGGCACAGGTGCAGTTTGGAATTGAAACATGAAATGAAACATATCCTAAATAAGTGGGCCTAAAGACAGAAGGAGAAACTAGGACCATGCTTACGTGTTGTTGATGATTTGGAAGCGATCTCCTTTTTTGAATGAAAGATCATCTGATGTTCTAGCTTCATAGTCGTACAAGGCCACAAAGAAAGTGACGCCACCTACAAACACAAAAACAGATTCACAGGTTGTGAATAAATACCCTGTAAAGACATGACAGAGGGAGCATGTCATAAAAAAGAAGGTTTTTGTAATTAAAGTAGATAAATCTGTCACGCCAAGGTCCATGACCTCACTGGATGGATCTTCTCTAGCTTATAGATCTGCAGTATGAGTGCTTCCCCTGCATGGGCATGTGATAATGACTAGACTTTCTAATGGGACAAAGTGAGACACAAAACAAACGAAAGTCAATATATGTATTCAGCAAGTTTGAAAACAATCCTCATCCCAACTGTCGTCTCATCACCATATCACTCAAATATGATGCAAGAAGAAGGAAGAAGGTTAAGAAGACATAGTTTGTTAAACCATCTTTCCATCTCAACACCTAGTAAGATAAAGTGACTGCAGCCACCCTGCAGACAACATTCATATACCAACCACTGACAGCAACACCTCCAACAATAATCCCATTACCTCCTGCAGGAATGAAGCCAACACCATGGCATTGCCACCTTCACCTCCTCCTGAGATCAGATAATCTAACATGAAGGAGGATTACAACATAGATCTCACCTAAACAATCCCCTGCCTGGTGTGCTCTCTCAGGATATCTGTAAACTGCTCGGGCACATTTAGGATGATCGCAGCTGATAGTAAGGCCGGTGTTAAGTCTAACAAGGAAAATTTAGTTAAATAACAATGACTGGAACGTTAGGGTGTCATAGCAACACATCAGGGAAGCACAGACTCAGTGTCTGCACACAGTGTTTACAACCTATCGTACAGATTATAACCGTTTTTGTTTTGGTTTCATTGTACTTTATGTTTTCTCTTTTCAGGGATTTCAAATACTCAGACACTCTCGACAGTTGGCTCACACACCAGGAATGGGAAGAAATCGCAATCGACCCTCCAAACAAACTCCTTGGTTGAAATCAAAACATTTCCTTAATCACAAAAATAACTGATCTATTGCTCTCATCGCCCTGTGATTGACCGACCCCACCTCTCGCCCAATGACAGCTGGAATCAGATACAGCCTCTTTCTAAAAGAACCAATAACTTCAATTCATTCAAAATTAGATTTTTACCCTGTCACATGGGGTACACGCCCGCTGCACACAAGATGTTGGTTTCTCAAGTGATATTTCTGGTCTTGGTCTTGTCTGGATCTCGGAGCACTCTGGTCTCGGGTATGTCTTAGTCTCCGTTAGTGTGGTCTTGACTACAACACTACCAAAAGTCAAGTCTTTACATCTTGATTTAAATATCTTTAAAATAATGGTCCAAATTGTTTAAATTGAATACAGCGTTATGTAAATACTCGAGCAGAAGCACGCAGATTAAATAATTAAAAGATTTTGAGTCATAAGAAGTGTAACGTAGGGAGAATTAATTCAGCAGTGAAAAACCCCCAAAGGCATGAATTAATCATCGGGTTCAGCTGTGAAGCAAATTGGCTTAAACATGTATTCAAAACACAACACGCTGCACGGCGGCCATTATCAGCACTGTGATGTCACTCTAGGATGGAACGCCACTCACTGGAGACGGCACCAGAGAAAGAGTTGGACACGGGGCCGGAGAAAGAGGACGACGCCCCTCCAAAGGGAGTAATGGCAGACGAGGAGCCTCCAAACGGCGTGAGGGTGTGGTTGAAGCTTGCACCCCCGGAGCCCGATGACGAGGAGGTAGGCGGATTCTGCTGGAGCTGGGTGGGATCAGGTCCGTAATGGCCGACGTGAGGCGTTGTGGCGATGGCGTTTGGGTCTGATCCCGTGGAGTTTTCCTGCCGATACTTCATTGTCGTGCCTTTGTCCTCTTTGCTCTTTATGCAGCCCATCGTCTCACCCTGCTGGACGGACACACAACACACAGCGTCAGTTCACTGCAGGCATATATTGGAAACGACAGCACCACATTCTCGAGTCGCCTTGATGATACATAAATTAAGTGAAGAGCAGGGAGGAGCGGGATTAACAGTTGCAACATGAGGCCTGTAGCAACATGAGTTATGAAATGAAAATTTAATGACCTCCTGATATTAACATGAGAATCATTTTGTTGTTGTTGTTGCTGCAAACGCTAACACCATAAGCCATGTAAGTGGGACATATGGGCAAGTATTTAATCCGCTTTGAATCCCTCGCTACACAAGTTGGACGTTTAAATTATTCTATGCATGCATGTTGTAATTTAGACAAGCACGAGACAGAGGGCTAAAATGGTGATTATGACTTTTTATTGTTGCGATCCATTACATACCATTGTTTTCCCCAAAAGAGATTAAAATGAATTAAAGAGGATAATGAGAGCTCTAAGCAGCATTAGTGCTGTGTTGTATTTTCATGCCTTGTTTGATACGATTCAAACCTCTCTCTCATGGGCCCTCAGCCCGTGGAGGAATTACCCAGAAACCCCATGGGGTCGTTGGGTTCAGGGGTCAGAGCCTCCCTATGAAGTAGCTTTGAATCTTTCTTGTTTGACACTTAATCAAGGGCTTAAGAAAATGAACACAAGAGACTTAAAAGCCAGACGGCTGTGGCTAAGTGGTAGAGTCGGTCGTCTCTTAACTGGAAGGTTGGGGGTTCAATCCCCAGCTCCTGCAGCCACATGTCCAATGTGTCAATGGGCAAAACACTCAATCCCAAATAGCTCCCGCTGCTTCAGACCCTTCACATATCAGCCTCTACCATCAGTGTGTGAATGTGTAGGTGTGACCTGCAGTGTAAAAGCACTTTTAGTGGTCAGAAGACAAGAAAAGAAATATACAAGCTCAAGTCCATTTAAAAATGGAAATATTACACAAAACAAGTTGACATACGAAACTAGAAAGATGCAAAATTAACAAAAACAGATTAAAAACATTCTGTCTAAAACATAACAGTCTAAAATATAACAAAAAAGATACACAAGGGAACTACAGAGCACAAAACAAGTAAAAAGGGACGCAATATGACCACAAATGAATGCAAAATGACCACACAGCGACGCCAAATGAATATGAAATCACGCAGAATTACAACACAACACTCAAAACACATACAACGAGACAACCATTGTGACATTCAAAACAACAATAAAGAGATAAAAATTAATTTAAAGGGACACAATGATCAAGAAAAAAGATCTTAAAGATACCAAATGCTGTAGCATTAAATACCTAAATACCCAATACGACTCAAAACAACCATAAAGAGAATCCTTAAAGACACAAAAGAACTGCAATGAAACACAAAATGACCACACAAACTCTTGAGTCTTTTCTGTTGTCTGAGTCAAACAGTTCAAACTGCAAAATATGAAAACAGTTGCGCTGTAGCTGTCTTGGTAGGAGGGGTGGTGGGGGGGGGGGGGCCTTCATGTGTGTGTACCCAGGTTCCTCTTGTGTAATAATCTGTCCATGACTCGGCCTGACCACGCTGCAGAATCCAGAACATCAATGTGTAGTCATACCTCCTCTAACACAATTTGGATGGAGTCACTCTGAGGCATTCTTCAGTGAGGCGAAGGTCTGGAAAATGTGGAGACAATCAGACATGCTCGTAAAGACGTCTGAGCTCGGGGAGATCAGAACCCTTTCACTTGCCAAGAACAACAGCCGCTCCAGGACTAGAACTTGCTTAATTGGCGCTGACACATTACAAGACGGTAAAACAATGGAGGATTGAAGTGAAACCGGAGCGCTTGCAGACCCTACAAACACATGCTACTTAGCAGCACTGTAGCTCGGTTGGTGACGGGAGGAGAGACGAGGGCAGCGGTTCACTGAACAACAGGGTCGCAATCATGCATCCATGAAGCTGAAGAGAATCTGCCGAGGCTGTAATGCACCTTTTCACTGGATCTCAAACAGTGGCCTTGATTTTTTGAGAGGTGGGAGGGATTTTTTTTTTTCGCCCTCATTGAAGAAGGAGGAGCGTGATCGAGGGTTCATCGAGTTCTTCAGCTGAACTGCCAAGGAAATCAACTAAATGGGGACGACCACAGAAGCCTTCCAAAGATTCAGAACACTTTGTTCAAATCAAAAAACGTGAAACTCTTTAAACTACAAGCTTGTGCCGAGCGCCAGTCGCCCTCTACGCATCCGTTTAATGAGTGCTCAAGTCAAATGAAACAGATTTCTTAAAAATGTCTTCAAAGGATTATCCCAATAAATCTATTATCAGATGTTAGATCTAGAGCCAATATGTTGGGAATGTTGGCAAGAAAAACAGGCTTTTTCCAACCTTTTCCCCATCCCCAAGAATCCAACCCGTATCATGGAAAGCAAAAGGCTTCACTCAGCAGCTCGCTCCACTCTGGTGGGCTTGTGTTTCCTCATCAGGCAGACAAGAGTCTGGCCCGTTGGCTCAGCAGTGAACTCACCACGCTGTAAAACACTGGACAGGGTCCCAGAAATATTTGCACTTTCGAGAGAGGATGTATTTTCTTTTTAAAAAATGGGACATCAGCTGTTTCCTAAAAAGTGACATCACCTTCCCAAACATATAACTGCTGAAAATATGGAAATTTTGAAACAGAATACAAGTCCTTAAGCATCAGAATGAAACTCTATATTAGTGTTTTCATTTACATTCATACCATACAACAGGTGTTGAAATCAGTACTATATTTCAGACGTTAAAGTGCTGCAGCTTCACAGCTTATGAACAACTTGCTGAATACAGTTCTTCATTTTATTTCCTTTGTTTCCTTCTCAGACTCTTTTGACTATCTAATAAACATACCAATAAAAAAAATACTGGTAAAGAACTTTTCTCTGTTTATAGCCGTGTTGGTGCCTTTTGTCTCCCTCGGACTTGTGTTCCCCTAAAATATCAGAAATATCTCCAAAATGATCAGATGGATACAAGTTAAATTTGAAATTAATATTTATGGTTCCTACATAGAAATGTCAAAATAGCTATCCTTGTTTCCTTGACAACCTTTGGATGAGTAGAAGATCAATCAGAAATGCTAACATGCTAAACTTACTGGCTGATTAGTACTGGAAAAGAGGCTGGGTGCCGTCCGGTGGGTGGGGGGCTTTCTGCTGCTAACTCTCTCTCCTCATTGAAAACAAAAAGACACTAGTGCTCAGAAAAAAACGGGCCCTTACTAATGTTAGCCTTTAGCTTAAAACACTGCTGAGCCCTAATACTACAAACGTGGAACAAAGCTACTTTAACCATCATTAGGAGAAGTATACCTTTAGAGTTCTTTGGTTTCTTTTTAAAGTCAGTAAGCTGTGCTGTAGGGAAGACTACATTATCAATCAACTGAAGGATTGCAAAAAGAGATTGAAGCTGTAATATATATACACACACTCCAAGTGGCGAGAGAAGGATGTACCACCTGTTTCTGGAAAATATATTTGTCAACTATCTTTACCAGGAGATGACCTAAATCTGCAAAACACACAAAAAGCATCTTTATATCAACCACATTCAATCCCATCAAGGCTAAGTAGAGCACTGCTAACAAAAACAGTGTGTCAGATAAAAGTGCCATTAGTGGTTGTGTGGGTTTAGAGAAAGTGATTGAGATGGAGTTCAAAGGAGAAACAGCAGGTTGGTAGAATGAGGGAGGGGGCAACCAGGCAGACAGTGCCAGCTCCCACAGCTTGAACTAGGAGGATTACACGGTTAGAGGATTTACCATAGGAGGATATTAAGAGAAAACTAAAAAAACAGGAGTGACCAAAAGCACACATGTAGTCCGACTGCACAGGGTCAGCTTGGCCTTTATAGACAGTCAATATTGTGTATGAAAAGCAGCAACCAAGAGATGTTTCATTACTGAGAAGGATTTCTGGAGGCGGACTCATATCAATCAAACAGCTCTAGACTGTACTTTGTTATATCACATTGGGAGGCAAAACATCCATCGACTTATAAACAAGCACTTGGGTACATTGGCAAATAAAAATGTCCTTTTAATGGGCAGAAACCTCCTGTAGGACCAAACTCAAAGCCATCTGCAGATACTGGATAGGCCAAGAATATGGAATAGAGGGAGAAAGAGACGGAGGGAAGGACGGAGACAAACATACTGAGGGTCATTGGATCTTAAAGACTTACTAGAGCACCCTGACATTAGGGAACAGCAATATTAACTGTAAAAGTAATGAATGCACATGCTTCACAGGTCTGAGACAGAATGGGCCTGATTTGTGTTAAGTTACTGCACTTTCTTAGCATTTCTTAGTGCTTAATGCTCAGTTCTTAGCATTTTGTTTTGAGTTGGAGTTGAAAAAAATAAAAAAATATATTTCTCTGGTGCTGGTCGGATATTCAGGTCTTTTTGTCCTTTTTGCCGGCATGCTTTGAGTTTAGTTAACTGGTTGGTTTCCTCTGGCTTCATTGATAAGAATAGTTAAGTATCATCTGCATAACAATGAATATTTAACGAGTGTTTTGATATTTTGTTAGCATATTTGCACCAACCCGTAGGGCTCATCAGAAAATTTGGAAGATGAAGGACACATCAACCCATATTTAACTCCCAGATTTCTTCAAGAGGTGCTGGACGCCTGGATAGTGCCATTGTTAGATAACATGGACTCTTGATTGTGTGATGCTGACCATCTTTGCCTATGACACGACCCGTTAGCCAGCCATTCTATGATGAACCTATACTCCCCAAAGTGAGGCTTAGGTTAAATCAGAAATAATGCGCTAAAATGACACGTCTTGGGTGGCATTTGAGGTCACAAAGAGCAGGAAGTTTGCACTGAGATTTGGGGGATCTTAAATGTCAAACCCTAACTGAACTTCAAATCAAAGTCTGTTCAGTTCAACACAAGATAAAGCATGAGCATGAGCAGCAGAGCCATGAGACCACAAGGAAAATCTGCTGCGCTGTTAATAATAG